CTTTCCAAAGCGAGCCGTAATGTGCAGGGTGGGCAATGAAGTTTTCCCACAGTGCACCATGCTCACATTTCTGGGGGTGCTAGGGACTCTGGGATATGGTTACTTTGGGTTGGGTCTGTGCACTTCAGAGCCCTAGGTTCAAGCACAGATTCAAAGCGTGTTAAATAAGGTTTAAATACAATGTAGGCACTCAAACCAAGGGTTCCCTAACACAGGTCAGTGACTTGAGTCCCACTAACCCTGGGCTTACCTTGCAGTGTAGACATACCCATAGTATTCAACTTGACCTTCTAACTTGTGTGTAAATTACAAACTGCTAACATTTTTGCCTCAGGCTAGTTACCCTGTGTTAGCTAACATGAGGTAAGAACACACTTTTTTTTTTTTTGGGGTGAAAATGCACCCAAGATGTTGTATCTCAGCTGTCCTACATTCTCATCCCTCTTTTCAGTCATTTCACTTGCCAAGGTGTAAAGTTGGTCTATGCCTAAAATTGAAAGCTGACATAGCTATGTTGGTTGGGGGTGTGAAAAAAACAACCCCCTGACCAATGTCGCTATGCCAACCTATCCCCCAGTGTAGACACAGCTATGTTGATGGAAGAACGCTTCCGTTGTTGTCGCTACCATTGTTCAGATAGGTAGTGTTCCTACAGCGATGGAAAAACCTCTTCCGTAAGTGGCTGTGTCTACACTATGGAGTGATGCTGGCACAGCTACGGTAAGGTAGCTATGCCACGATAGCGTCTGTAGCATGACATACCCTTACGGTCATGCCAAATTGCCAGAAAGTCCTGCAGTGTGAGAATGCTTCTCAGCCTCTGTAGTGCTGGGATCATTCAATTTTCTCAGACTGGTATGATGTTCCTCTCCACAGTCCGTGCATGTTATAGCTAGAAGGAGCTCAAGTGTTATGGGTTGTATGAGCAGTGCTCCCATGCAGCTGGGACAAGGCAGAATGAGATAGGAGAAGTGCTAAGGGGGAAAGAAATAAGAAGGGAATAACCATTTAGGGAAGTCCTCTTTCTTTCTTTTATCTGAAGAAGCTGAGTTTCTCCATTGGGGAAACATTAGGTAAAAGCAGGAAACAACATTTCTTCAAATATACAAAATGCACTCATCTGCCTTGAGGACTAACCCTATAGAAAGTTTGAAGTTTACAAACTAACCATTTCTTGGAGTTATGTGAGCCCAAAATTGTTTTGACTTTTATAAATGGATGGATTTGTGGGGTTTTTTTTCACTTGTATAACTCAAAAACGATTCAAGTTTGTTAAAACATCAGAGTAATTCACTAAGGGACAAAATTCTCAGAAAAAATTCTGCTTAAAATGAAGTGTTTTGAAGAAGTATCAAGTGTGTAAAAATAGGGGTTTAGATTTTTTATTCCTGGAAATCAAAGAGAACAAATTTCAGTTTCAGATTGTATTCAATAGTGTTAGTTGTTAGTTTTTATACAAAGCAATAGGCTTTTATCCTTTTTAATTTTCAGCCAAACCTTTATAGCTCACATTTCGAAGGGACAAGTCAGAAGCAGCATCTAGTTGTGTGGTATCGGGAAATGTAGTTTTTTTTCCCAGTGTAAGAGTTGTTAGTTCAATATCCCTTGAAATAAGGAAGCCAGGAAAATGTAAAGCCTCAATTCACAGATTCACAGATATTAAGGTCAGAAGGGACCATTATGATCATCTAGTCTGACCTCCTGCACAAGGCAGGCCACAGAATCTCACTCACCTACTCCTGCGAAAAACCTCACCCCTATGCCTGAGCTATTGAAGTTCTTAAATCGTGGTTTAAAGACTTCAAGGAGCAGAGAATCCTCCAGCAAGTGACCCGTGCCCCATGCTACAGAGGAAGGCGAAAAACTTCCAGGGCCTCTTCCAATCTGCCCTGGAGGAAAATTCCTTCCCAACCTCAAATATGGCGATCAGCTGAACCCTGAGCATATGGGCAAGATTCACCAGCCAGATACCCTGGAAAGAATTCTCTGTAGTAACTCAGATCCCACCCCATCTAACATCCCATCACAGGCCATTAAGCCTATTTACCATGAATAGTTAAAGATCAATTAATTGCCAAAATCATGTTATCCATCATACCATCTCCTCCATAAACTTATCGAGTTTAATCTTAAAGCCAGATAGGTCTTTTGCCCCCACAGCTTCCCTTGGAAGGCTATTCCAAAACTTCACTCCTCTGATGGTTAGAAACCTTAATCTAATTTCAAGCCTAAACTTCCAGTTTACTAAAGTGAGAGTCTGCATTGATTAGTCAAACGGTGAGAGGTAAAGTTATATCTGCTAGGAGCCAAGTATCACATGAAGTCTAATTCTGGTTATAAAAGTGCAGTTTTCAAACCAGTGTGACCTCAGTGCTGATCAATAAATGGAAGTTCAAAAGGACAGCTAAATTTGGAGAATGCCAAACAGAGTTTGGGGTGTGTTAGAGCACCTGACAGCTAGAATTAATCCACAGCATAGGGGTCTAGGGCATTATTGTTTGTTTTGCTTTTGTTGCTTACTCCATTTTGTATTGTATTTTACAGCTAATGAACTGTGCAGTCTGTAAAACATTAATCCTGATGTCAAGTCAGTTTTGTAAATAAGGATCAATGCCTCAGTTTAAAGGGAAAGAAAAATGTGGGGAAGGATATGGTAGCTTACATTGGGAAGCTGAAATATATGCTATATATTGAGCTGAAAATCTACCTTTAGCCCAAGACTATATTGTCTCTGTATTTTTATTCACGCCTTTGACACTGCCTCATCCAACTGGACAATAGTCTTTTAGGGTATTACAACTGGACTCTGGGTCTTGTTGAATTAGGTCTCTGTCTTACTAGCATTGTTAAATCAAGTACTCCCAAATCTTTACCTTCCAACAGTCCTGGGTTTCAGGGGCTGTCCCATTTTGAACCCCCAACCCCCTGTTCCAGTTGAAGAGCAGTTTGCCGTGGGCCCCAGTTTGAGAGGGCCCCCGTTTGAGAGGGCCCCCAAACTAAGTGGCATTGTGATCTCACACACAAGGTCACAGCATCACTCAAAGTTTGGCCTGTCTGCCCTGCGGTCTCCATGTATGGAGGGATGGATGGGCCAAATCTGATGGTGCTGAATTCTGTTAACACACTTGAAATGGTAGAGAGATGCTAAATTACTGAGTATGCTGGACTACAATAGAAAGAAAAGTGCATGATAGGTAAGGCAATATGAAAAGATTAATTGTAAACTCATGCTAATAACTGGTAGTCATGACTGCTGTGTGTTTTAGTAGTAGCTGCCTTTCTTTTACATCTAGTTATGCTAGGTTCTTTGCAACTACTTATAGACCAATATGGCACACTCCTATACACTACAGAAATCCAGTTCTCTTAAAATCATCTCCAGCAGTTTTAATTTTCTAATTATTTTGGATTCCCTCTAGCTTTACTGATTTTTATTTCCAGTACAGAACCCAGTACTACATGCAGTGCTTCAGTAATGAAATTATCAATGCAGTGGTGAGAGAAGAATTATTTTTTCTTGCCTATACCTTTTATTAAGATGTATAAATACCTATTTATACATCTTAATAAAACAGACAAATTCTGTACAGCAGTATCACACTATGTGCTCCTGTTCATCTTACTGTCTATCATCCCAAAACCTCTTTTGTAGTTCAGTTTTGTAACTGGCAGTCTTCTATTTTATAGTTACAAATATGGTGAATTCTTCCTCCCCCCAAAAAATCACCTTAACCCTAATGTCTAATATTGTCTCATTGTTTCCTTGTATTCTCCCATCTGTTGTTCTTTGTTTTATACTTAGCTTATAAACTATATGGAGCAGGGACTGTCTTTTGTATGTAGCACCTAGCACAACAGGGTCTTGGTCTCTGTCTAAGGCTCCTTAGGTATTACGATAATACAAATAAATAATAAGTTACACCAGGCCTACTATATTCCCCTCATTAACAAAATGGTTGAGTTGACATGATCTTGCCATCAGTTTGACCTCTTTCTTATCCCATGATTCCACTATTGATTAGCTGACTGGTTCAGATAACATAACCAACTTGCATCTTTTTTGAGGTTCCAGAAAGTTAACTTTGGTCCTGATTCTCCTGAAATACTCATCTCTTGGAGTACGGCGATCAGCACTTATTTAGCCTGCCTGTGCATGCCACATTCATAGGGTGACCATATGTCCCATTTTGGTCAGGACAGTCCCTTTTTTGAGCCCTCTCCCGGCGGTGGCAACATTTCTGGCAAAACTGGGCATTTGTCCTTTTTGCTCTTGCCAACTGATCATCATGCACCAAATGCACAGTTTTGCCAAAAAAGTGGGGTGCAACCTCTAGCAAAGAGCAGAGGAACATGTAGGAGAGAGGGGGGCAAGCAGCAACACCAGCCCTGTGCAGGAGGGAGGGCTCTGGAGAGCAGCTTGGGCTGGGCCAGCCCCGCAGAGGCAGGCAGCAGGGGGAGCTCAGGCCAGTCCCACACGCAGGGAGGGAGAGGGAGGAGGCCTCGGGTCTGCCCAGGGCAGGTGGCAAGGAGGCTCTGGCCAGCCCCACCACACTGTGGGCAAGCGGCAGGAGGGTTTGGGAGGGAGGGAGAGCCGGGCCTCGAGCCAGCCCCATGTAGGAGGGGGCCTCAGGTCAACCCTGTGAGGTGTCCCATTTTCCCTTTGGGAAAATATGGTCACCCTACATTCAGTAAGGATCCACTGCAGAAATGCCATAGCATGTGATATGTCTTACTTCAGTTCTTTCTAATCAAGCAGAAAACACTGGAAATATTATGAAAGCTTGACCTTGTGAGACTTCTAGTCTAGCTGAACTGGTTCTGAAAATCTTTCAAATGCTTAAGTGCATCTGTCTTTCCAGGTTTTCCCACGGGTACTTATTATAATGCTCTTAAGGGAGAGAGCACCTCGTTGTCTTGTTTGCTCTAGGTTACATGGCATCACCACTAGGTTAATAATTTTCTTCATCTACTACTGTACTTAACGTTTGGTTTGCACTTACCCTTCTCTATTCTTGCGGTGCTTCCCCTGTTCTCGTGAGCCCTGCTACGCTTATCAGGGTCTTACATTCCTTGAAATTAATAGAACGGAACCGTGTTTTAAACAGAGACTGGCCAGAGCTGCGAAAAGGGAGCTCTGGTCTTTTAACCAGCCGAAAGCGGAGTGTGCTGGGGCCCCGGGGGCTGGTTCTCGGGGAGGTGGTTCTCACCACGCTCCTGCAGCCTGGTGTGACAGGGGCTGAAGCCAGTGAACAAAGCAGGGCTCAGGAGCGAGGGGTTACTCCTCACACGCCGCACGACACGAGACGTGCGCACACAGCAGCCAAGGGCTCTGGCCTGAGGCGCTCACAGGCTACCACAGCCTGGGCACCGCGGGTCAAAGAGCCACCGCTCCGGTGGGGGCAGGGCAGCCCCCGCTGCTCGGAGCGCCTGTGAAGCCCCAGGGCCCGCGGCCCTGCCCGAGCGGGGAGCCCCGCCCTCGCCTCACCTGCCTGGCCCCGCGGCGTCCCTGACTCCTCCCTGGCTCGGGGTGGGGTCTCCTGGCCGGGCTGGCCCCCTCCCCGCCAGCGGAGGCGGGGAGTCGGTGCTCAGCCCTCAGCGCGGTCGTGCCTGGTTCGGGCGGCGAGCAGGGCGCTGAGGGGAGCCGGCTGCGGGCAGGTGAGAGCGCCCGAGCGGCGCCGGGGACGAGGCGGTGGCGGGGGGGCACGCGGGGCGCCTCTGTCACCGACTCCCCCCGGAAAGGGCCGTGGCCGGCCGCAGCCCCCTTCCCCGGGCACCAGCGGCTCCCGCGCCCTGCAGCCCCCGGGCAGGGAGGGCGCGCTGCTGGCCTGGGCACTTACTGCTGCCCGGGGCGGATGGGAGCGGCGTCGGTGGTCAGGGCGCGGGGTGGTGTCTGCTCCCCGGGGCGGGGGGCGCGGCCGTGCTGGCCTGGGCGCTGCTGCCCAGGAGAAGGAAGGGGATGGGCTGTGGGGCGCCTGAACGCGTCGCTGTTGCTGGGAAGTTGCACTGTGGCTCCGAGTTGCTGTGCTCACTGGCTTCCTCTCCTTTACGCCGGCTTCTTCCCAAAGGCCAAGGACGTGGAGTCCTTCCCCTCGGGAACAAGCTACTCAGCACAAGACTCCTTATAAACTCATCTGACAAAAATGGGGAGGCTCCCCGGAAGCGCTGTTAATTGCACCCTTGGTAGTATTGCTTCAGGAGGGCAACGACAGCCTTGAAGTGTCCCATTAGCATTGCTTCGCTGGGTCAGCTCCACCTGGACTGTAAAGGTGGGATTGCCGGTGTTGTCTGACGCTGGTGTTTCTACCACTGTTGTACGTGGTATAGGGGTTAAAGGCTAGTAGCTACCTGGCCGCAGCTGTGCAGGAATGTAAGCTCTTTGGGGCAGAGCCTGCTCTGTGTGTTCCTATGGTCCTTAGCACAATGGGGCTCTGGCACTAGAAATGTTAAATAAGAGAAATCAAGCTCTAATTTCTGCTGCCACTGATGGAGCTGAATCAGTAATAGCAAGGAAAGCAGGGAGAATTTTGGAGGAAATAAAAAGAAAAGGAGTACTAGTGGCACCTTAGAGACTGACCAATTTATTTGAGCATTAGCTTTCCTGAGCTACAGCTCACTTCATCGGATGCATGAAATAAAGGAAATAAAGTCAGTGAAAACCAGGCCTGTGTCTCACCAACTTCCCCTTCTTCTGGTAAAGTTCTCTGGGCAGGAACTGTATTTTCATACCTGCTGTGCAGCTCACTGGTGATACTTATAGTAATAATGTACTGGGAGGTGTTGGCCCTGCCCTTAGATTTCAGATGAGTTCATGTGATCCCATGCTGCTGGGAACACAGGTAGGGCTATCATGTATCTCAGAAGTGTGTGGGTGTGGAGTTGCATACTAGGCTGCCTGTTGGCTAGGGTTAGTGTGGGCACAATCTTAGCACCCTTGAACCATGACCCTTTGGTGGAGATGGGGATGTGCCAACTTGTAGACACACATTCTTCTGCAGATTCCAGGGATTCCTGAAGTGGGGGCACCCCCTGACTTCTTCATCTCCCTTTTATTCTATGAATTAACTTATTTTTGAGAAGGGGATTGTGCTTGCTTTGTGTGTGTTCACTTGCATAGGAAAATCTTGGAAGATAATTTGCCCATTCATTCCTCTTCCAGTTAACCATGCGAATGATATGTTGTATGTGGTTGTATACGATGATAGCTTTATAGCGAGATCCATGCTGCCTCTGGTGAATATGGATTAGCATCAGCAGCTGGCTGAAGAACAATTTGTCACAGCTTTTACCTCTAGCCTGTACTTCCCCGCAACATGTAATTTTCTTGTTGTATGAGCTGAATTTTTGTGCAAGGTAGAATAATTTTTAAAAGGATCATTGCTGCAAATAATGGAATAGTATTCAGAGGGAAGTAATGGAAGCCCATACTTGGAGACACATGGGTTTTTGTTTTTGTTTTTTTTACCTCAACATCTCCAGTGTGCTTGACTTCTACAAATGTAGAAGACATGGTCTCTCTCCTGAGGATTGTACAACATAAGACCTGGATCCTGCAAATGGATCTAGTGGGCCCTTAGGACTCCTTATGGATGTGAGGGTACACCTGAGTGGATCAGTTGCCAGGATTAGTGTTGAAATCATACTCTGACAAATCAGTTCAATTATATGGAATAGCTGCACAATAGTTAAGGTTGCATTACAAAGTTCAGTTTAATAGGAGTGTTTAACCTTTATTTTGTAAAAATCTTATTTAAATGGCTAATGCCAAAACATAGAATATAAACTTTGAGCACGATTTGAATTTTTTAGGGTGGTTTGATTAAAAATGAATTAATTAAGAGAGAATAATAATTTAGAAATCACCCCTTTTAGCAATTTTTCACTGGATTGTCTCATGCAAAACCCAGAATAGCTTCCCTAAAGCATGGAATGTGTGACAGCCAGATGTGCTGATTTGTTGATATAATTGATACAGGCATATGAGGTCGCTATTAAAAAGTTTTGTGATAAACTGCAAATTTGATTACATTGGGTATCTGTTGGAGATGGAAATGAAAGCCTCATAGAGAGTTAGTGTGTTATCAGTATTGTTGCAGGCAATGTGAAAGTAGAAAAGAATGCACAATCTTTCCTCTTAGGTTCTTATTTCCGTTCTTTTAGGGTTTTGGATGGATAGGATGTGTTGTGCTGCAAATACTGCCACTAAACTTAGCCTTTGCTTGCTAATTTAGGCTGAAGGGCAGAATTTCAGGAAGTATAGTTTTTTTATTTTCACATATATGTTATCCACTTGTAGATTATTGCTGAAAAGCTTTGTGGAAAAAGTATATTTTCAGGAGTGATATAAAGTCAGACTAACTGAACACAAAGAGATACTGAGTAAGGAGGAATCTTGCATTAACCAGTGCAATGGACTAGGTGATTTAATAATTTTCCTCATCTCTAATGATAATTTTTGGGTTTTTTTGTTGTCATGGTAGAGTGTAGTGTATTCAGTGGTGTGTGTTTGTGCATTTCCACCAAAGTTAGGATTGTTTTTCTTGAATCTTTCGCAGACGTGGTGTTTTCAGTTTTGTGTATTTGTTTTGTTTTGTTTTTTTCCTGGAATCTTGGCTTTTGGTTAACAAGTCTGCTTTGGAAGAAAACATTTGTAATTGTTTTTCAGTAATGAAAGGTGATATGTTTTTGTTCTGAGAAGTGTCAAGATGTCTGCTATCAATGAATGTGTATCTTAGAAGGAGTCCTTGTGGCACCTTACAGACTAACAAATTTTTTTGGGCATAAGGACTCCTCCTTGTTTTCACTGAAACAGACTAACACAGCTACCCCTCTAAAACCTATCTTAGAAGGAACATTCAGCAAGGTTATAATTACCTGTATAGTTAAGTATAAGATGTTTAACATTTAGTGTAAAAATAGAATATAATAATCTTAAAATGTAGTATCTAAGAACCTACAAATAACTTGAAAATATTTAGTGTGCTGCTATGTATGCATAATGTGAGCAAACATATTTTGAAGTATCTAGAATGTTATCTCTTTAAAGTGGCTTAGAAATGGTTTTTGAAGAGCGTTTATCTTTCAGATTACTTCTGACATTTGGTGTTTGTGTAGTTCTGCACACACTGCAGTGGTTTCTGATAAAGGAAATGGTGGTATCTTCTTCATGGCTTAATTTTTTTCATATTTCTAAGATTCAAAAAAGTTCTGCAAGAGTTGCTAAGCATTTGTTTAATTAAAAAGTTTCTTTCTGGGATACATACTCATGGGATCAATCTCAGGGAACATGAAATGTTACTTGAGCATCAGTGCAATGCTAACTCTATAAAACAGTAATCTAAAATAGATTACAATAACGTAAAAAGTAAAACTAGAAATGGAAGACTAATGGGTATCCTCATTAGCACAGCCAGGAAAAATGTATTATGCACAAACTTGTGGTAATTACCGATGAGGTGATCTGTCTATGGATGTGCATTGCATTTGTCTGCTTACAATAGATGTTCTTATTCTCCATGACAGACTAGCTCCTTTTATTTAATACAATACTTATTTTTTGTTAGTCTAATAAATGGTATAATCATTTATATTATCCAAATTAATTCCTAGCAAAGCAGCACGTATCATATTTGTTATGTGTGTTATTAGATTATCAGACTTGCACTATCATTGTTCCTGACATTGCACTTATGACTACAATGTGGGTGTGACAGGATCCCCAGGGTGCAACCTGGGGCTGTGGGACCACTGTGTCCCCTTAACTCTCCAGCCTTGGCTGTCTCTCACAATGCTTTGCTAGTGACAAGCAGCAAACCCCTCCAGGCGCTGTGATCACTCAGCACAACAGCATGTAGAGCCCCACATCCAGCTGCTAGATTGCATGAATGCTCCCAGAGCTACTCGTAATCACACGGAGAAAAGCACACCGCTCAAGATGAGCCGCGCAAGTTTATTAATTGGTTCACCACTTCATCAATAGAAAGTGGATATATACCAGCCTTTGTAAACTTGAGCAGATTTACCAAACACTTAAGGTAAACTCACTGGTAAAGATAAACAGTAAAACAACTTTATTGACTGCAAA